CTTGGAGCATCTCCCAGGCACTGACCACTTAGCCTGCTAGCTGCCCTAGGACATCTGTCTAGCAGTCCTGCTGGAAAGACAGACTGTAAGTATGGTCTGCAGAGTTAACTCCACTGAGGAGGGGTAGGGAGCTCTTTCCCCTCCTCTTCTCCCACCTCATAGGATTCAGACACCATTGTACACTAGCTTACCTGAAATGTCAGCCTCTTCATCTCAACACTGATGTTTCTACAGACAATTGCCTGGGGTTTCAAAGTAAGCTGTTGACATGGGACAAAGGCACAGTGCATTTAAAGGCAAAGAAAGGGTCACATACCATCCAATGCGCTCCCAGCACCTCCGCTTGCTGGCTTCATATGTGAGCACAGCTTCCCACAGGTCCAAATCCGGGGTCATGCTTGGTTCAGACTGGGAGTCAGGAGTTAAATTAGAAGCTGACTGGAACCCTTCATCTTCCCACTGATCCATCATCTGTGGGACCTAGAGAGCACAAGGAAAAGCAGTTCATTATCTATCTCTTTGTGTATGCATTCATTTAAATGTGACATAACATTCCGGAACTTTATCCTCATCCATTTGTTCCCTAGAGGGACACACCTAGCAAAATATTTTATATTTTCTCAAGTTTCTATGTACTACACAATGCACCCCTCCACAATGGCATCACAGAATTAAAATAATCCACGATTGACTGGAGAGTTGGCTCAGAGGTTAAGAGCACTGACTGCTCTTCCAGAGGTCCTGAGTTCAGTTCCCAGCACCCACATGGTGGCTCACAACCATCTGTAATGAGATCTGGCGCCCTCTTCTGGCCTGCAGGCATAATTGCAGACAGAGTACATAACAAATAAACAAATAAATATTTAAAAAATAATCCACTATCAATTTCTGTCAGGTGTGGTGGTGCATGCCTGTAATTCCTGCACTCCCGGGTCTGTAACCAGACTGGCTGCATGGAAAGATTTACCTAAAACAGAAGGTGTTAATTTCTTAAAAAATATTTATTTTATTTTTATTATGTATACAATATTCTGTCTGTGTGTATGTCTGCAGGCCAGAAGAGGGCACCAGACCTCATTACAGATGGTTGTGAGCCACTATGTGGTTGCTGGGAATTGAACTCAGGACCTTTGGAAGAGCAGGCAATGCTCTTAACCACTGAGCCATCTCTCCAGCCCAGAAGGTGTTAATTTTTAATTTCACATAATACATGGCCTCATTTTAGGGAAAAGAACAAAAAGTCATATGGAAGTCCCAGTACTCTGTAGGATGAGGCAAGAAGATCTCCATGAGTTTGAGGCCAGCCTGAGATACCCTGAAACCTGTCTTTACCCACCCCACCCCCTCAGCACTCAGGAGAAAAACAAAACTATACTAAACCTGGAAAAATGTATGTATACTGAGATTTTGCTGTAGCATCATTTAAACTTGGAAACAGCCTACGTATTTCATAATAAAAAAAAAATAACCGAGTAGGAACAGATTGTCCTTTAACAGAATTTACAAAGTAATAAAATACAAGAGACAATGGCAATTTACTCAATGACTGGCAGGAAAAATCCATGTTACAAGTGGGAAAGTATAACAAAAAGCATGCACACCAGGCATTTTTGAAATGTGGTTTCTGCAACTGAAGAACAGGATTTATTTCATTTTAATTAATTTAATTTAAATTGCCAGTAGTAGAGAAGAAAAGTGGCTTAACCTGAGGTAAAAGGTGAACAGTCGTGTGTAATTATTTTTGATGCAGTATCCCTGTGCAAGACCAGGCCAGTAAGTTCTCTCCAACACCTCTCCCTCATAACAATCCAGTCACCTGATGTTCTGGACACGAGCTTTCCAGCGTTACCATGGCACTGCCCAAACCTCTAGGGATACTGAGGGGAAAGAAACACTACCTTAATGGCCAGTCCAGAAAAGTCCGCGCTGTCCGGCACAGGGGGCAGATCCAACCTCACATCCATGTCATATGTGCGGCTGTGCACGAGGGCACCAAAGAGTGAGACCCGGGTGTCTCTCTCAAACCTGTCACCACAAGAGTCACCAATAGAGAAGCGCCCAACGGTGGGCAGGCCAGTACCTGGGGTAGCCTCCATCACCTGAAGGGCTTCCTGGAACATGTTATGACACAAATACTCCTCTCCAGAGATAAGTGACCTGACGTCCATTTCAAACACACTCAGGTCATAGCAATCGTAGCCGCTGTAGGGTACGTTTCGGCCTGCGTGCTTGTTGTTAAAGAAGAAATCCCGTTTTCTCCGCAGCACTTGAGGGGGGCCGCTCCCCGCCAACTGGACCAAGAGGTCCAGCACTGACTCCACCTCCACCAGAGGACAGCCAGGGGTTGCTTCCAACTTCTCCACAAGCTCTTCCAAACGGTCGGCCTCTGGCCCCAAGCCACCCACCCTCAAATCGAAGGACAGCATGAGGACCTTGTTCTTCACGGGGCGCTTCGCCGAGTCAGGCAGCCGCTGATGAGTCTCCTCTTGAAACAGATTGGCGAAAAGAGCATTGTAGGCTACCCTCTTCAGGCTGAGCTTTGCCCTCTTCCTGTCCACGGGGCGCTGACCCGGGTGAGCCTGGACGGCCGGTAAGAGAGCCTCGCAGAGGTCATCGAACAACTGGGTAATACTGGTCATAGCTCTTCAGCCACGGACCCCCGAGTGCTAAACTTTGCACGTGGGAGGCACTTCACGCTACCAAAAACCAGAGCGGCCGCCGGTGGGTCGTCGCTTCACACCTGCGAACCAGGCATCCGCGCCTCAGGTTTTGCAAAGCGAGAGACCACACGCCGCGTCCTCCCAGCCTTCAGCCGCCACCCGGCGCTCGTCGTCGGGTCTCACGGACCCTGACGAGTTTGCCGAGCGAATGCGCGCGTCCCATAGCCCGCCTGTAAGCCGAAGTCGGCTGAACTGGGACTCCCGCCGCTATGGCGCCATATCCACGCGACCACAGGCACCACCAAGAGACGCGCCGGAACTACGTCACCAACACGGTCTCGGGAGGGGCGGGGCTGTAGCCGCGGCTTTCGATAGTACAAACTATCGTTGGTGAAACAGACTCAGTAAGGCAAGCAGGGGTGTGCACTTTTTAGAACCGATATTTATTGTGGTAGAGGTAGGATGCCCGGGCCGCAGATGGGACCTAGGTCTCCGGCCACGGTTCGCTAGGACCTGAATGTGCTCTTCTCCGAATAGGAATCGTCCGCCTTGACCGATTTCAAGCGATTGGAGAGCACGGACCTGGTCGAGGAGCTGAAAAAGCATAATCAGCTCGCGCGGTGAGGCTGGCTCCACGTAGCTCTAAAATAGGGCCGCGCCTCCCCACGTGCCTCACCAGCCACCTGCAGCAACTTCCACCGAGGTTCCAGCTGAGTTTTTAGTAACCTAAGGGCCCGGATCTCCTCTGGAGAGGCCATCAAGAAAGGGCCCAGACTGGGAGGTGCTTCTCCAAGCAGTACCTGTGCCAGGGTCCTTGCAAGCTGGAGTATGGATTCCTGGCCCAGGGATAGTGGGGAGCGGGGGAGGGGAGCAATGAGACAATGGTTTCTCTTCACCTTCCACCCATACAGCTTATATCCACCTTGCTCAGTTTACCTCTTCCACTACTGCTAGAATTCGGCCCCCTGCTGGGCCCCGAAGCACTGAAGCCAAGAGAGCAGCTTGGGCGTTCTGCAGGCCATGGGCAGGCCCTAGTGCCATCAACACCACGTCAGGCTGGAAGCCATAAGCCAGGGGCAGAACCAGACCCAAGATGCAGCTCAGAAACCCCCCGGTCGTCTGTGGGGACAGAGGCAGAGCCTCAGGCTCTGATCTAGATACTGCTACTGGCTCCTGTAACCACCCTCCAAATCTCAGGGACCCTGGATTGTGAGCAGGCACCCCCAGGAAGACCAGGAGACAGTGAGAACCTCTCCAAACCGCAACACGACCCCTCACCTGTGGCAGTGGTGTAGAGATGTGGAACATGGACTCCACGGCTGCCTCCTTGCCCCGGATATTCAGCCATAGAACTCTCCTTTCCAGGAGTGAGCAGCATGAATATGTATACATGTGCATGAGACCCTTTCGTGAACTTTATAACTGGGAGAGATGAGAGCTTGGGGCTCCAGCAGGGAGGAGGACATGTGTGACTGCCAACCTGGTATGCCTCTGCTTTCTGGGCACCCACTCTCAAACTGCAGCTATGGAAGCCTCCCCCCATTCTGTACTGCAGTGACCCCACACAGTTAAATGCCTGCTACCTGTTCACACACATGCACAATCGGGGAAATATATAAGCTGAGAACCATACCCATCATCTGCAAGGTCCAGGGGTCGATCCAGCTGTCCCAGGGCCACACAGAGCAGCCTAAGAAGTTGACCCAAGATAGGCTGTGCTCACACTGTCCAGTATCCAGCGCCTTTCCCACACCATTAGTGGGGCATTCCCAGGTCCTTTGAGTCCCAAGTCAACCAAACAGACTTTACCTCTGAGCTCCATGGGACAGGCATCGCTGAATGATCACTTCTACAGTTGCTGCTGTGGCAAGGGCGGCTGTGACAGCTATGCCATTCCTTACCTATGGAATAAATAACAGAGAATCTAGAGGCTGACACACACACTCCCTATGGAGCACTTTCAGGAGGCAAGGCCAACTCCCAAACCCGGTTAGACAAACCTTTTGTGCTTTGTTTTGGTCCTGTCCAAATGGCTGCTACTGACTGACTTTCCCTACACTACAATATCAAATCACCCCACTTTCTATACGCAAGATGCTTAAAACTACACTTCAAATTGTCTACTTCCTCTCTACCAAAGAGCATTGCCTGGGCTCTGCACAAGGTAACATGTCAGCCCACCGTACATGCCACCACGCTATCTCCAGCAGCTCCCCTGGCAACCTACCTGCCCATCCAGGATCCCACCTAAGAGACACAGAATCTTCCCCAGGGTGACAAGACTCTCATCCTGGAACAGAGACTTGTGTAGCCTACGATGGGCAAGCCAGAGGGACACATGGAAACCAAATCTGTATCAGCCGCACCGGTGCAGGCATAGCCAGCCCCAGCCTCAGACTGCTCGCCTCACCTGGCCCAGGCTTCGGTTTCCTCCCTCAAGGCTGACTCTTCCTGAAGGAGCACTCCAGGAGGTAAGGCCAGAGCAGCACCTGGCACGGCCAAGGCGACCGCTGTGCAGATCGGGGGTGTAGGACGGAGACAGAGTTCACCCTGGAGAGGGCTCAGGGCAGCTTCTGCTGCTTCATACGTGGGGCTCTCAGCAAGCAGAGGCAGAGACCTCCCTTCAGGAAAGTGGGTGCTGGGACCCAGAATTGGTGCCACATCTAAACGGTTCAGAGTCACAGTCACTGCCTAAGCCTAAGGCAGAGGAGCTGCCAGCCCAGGTCCAGGTCATACTGACTTTGCTGGAGGCTTGTCCAGTGAGGGGCCTGGGCTGTCTGGACACTCTGGATGGACTCCAGGGCACTATGGGGAAGAAATAGAATTGTAAAGCTGACTCATGCTTTAGCCCCCTCCCCCACCTACTCCAGTCTTCAAACCTCTGGCATGGCACCATGAGTCCAAGAAGGGGGGGTGTGGGGTCACCAAGCAGTGTCTGCACCATCTTGCACACTGACTGTGCTAGGGATTCCAGGTGGTATCCACCCTAGGGAGAGTGTTGAAACAGGACAGCGCAGGGGTGTCACTAGTGTGAGCAGCTGTACCAGGCAGAGCACCTCACCTTGACTGATCCTCCCCTGGCCTTCGAGCCTCCCCACTGCCCCACACTTACCTCTAGCACAGCACAAATCCGGCCACCAGCCAGCACCTGCAGCAGCTGTGTGAGGTGGGCAAAGCACTCGGGTGTGGCTCGCATCCGCCCCTGCAGCACAGTGAATCGTGTTTGACAGGCGCCTAGACCCAGGACCCTAGCTTACTCCCCAGCCAGGCCATGCTCTCACCTCAGGGTCCCCGATGGCAGAGTCAAATCCTGCTGAGACCAGCACCAGCTCAGGGTCAAACTACAGGCAGAGTCCAGTGGAAAGGAGCAAAAGAGAGCCATAGCCAGGTGAAGGGGAGGCCCCAGTGCTGCCCATTCACATCTGACTTTCAGAGGCACCTTCCCCACTCTCCAAGGTTCATTCGCACTCTGGTGGAATGGCTTACAAAGCTCCTCCTGCCTTCATAGTGGAACTTTAGGTTAGCCTAGGGTTTCCTGCCCTGGGGGACACCCATCACCCAATCACCTCAAAGGCCAACGGGAGCAGCACATGCAGGAAGGCAGCCAAATAGTCAGCATTCCCCATCCCAACCTGCAGCAAGATCGAAGTGGACATTAGAGGACCAGCCCTATGAACGAGGGCTCCAGGGTCTTCACCCCTGGCAACAGAACTCTGGGGAGAATGTTGCAGGATGCCCTGGATGACATTTGCAAACCCAGAGCTGGGGAGCAGGAGAGGAAGGATGGATGGAGCGGGGAGGGGAACTTGGTACCTGATTCCAGGGCAAATTGACGGTGAAGCCTTGGCCCTGCCCTTGCCCAACCGCATGTGCATCAGACTCTTGAAGGAATGGCCAGAAGCGCCCATGCTCATAGCGGTGCCAGGAGAAGTAAAGGACACTGTCAACAACTGGCCAGGTCAGAAGTGAGGTCCTTCAGGAGCTCCACAGCTTCTCAAATAACCCTGACTCCTAAAACCTGAATTTTATCCCCAAGTGGTGCATTGTAGAGAAGGGCCGTGTTCACACCCCAGCTTACCTGGGGTCATCATCGAAGATGTACTGGATGCCCTGGCCGTGGTGGATATCCCAGTCGACAATAAGAATCCTAAATTCAGACCATACTGGAGATCACCTTGCCACCAGCACGCCAGAAGCCCATCCAGGTGTGGAGGGAGCAGGGTAGGAATCTTAGCCACCAGCTCCACCTCTGCCAGTTTAGCTTGTATCCCCAACACGTACATACCTCTGCAGCCCATATTTCTGCTTGGCATGTTTGGCTGCTATAGCCACATTGTTGAACACACAGAATCCATTGGCAGCCTCCTTCTGACTGTGGTGCCCTGGAGGCCTGAGGTGTAAAATTGGGGTACAGGGCATGTCGGGGTCCTTCTGTCCCCTCACAGGGTCACACACAGACAGTCAATTTGACGGGGAGGGCAGTTCTCACCTCACCAGGGCAAGCCCATTGTGCACAGCTCCTGTTAGCACAGCATCCACCAGCTGCAGTGCAGCCCCCACAGCTAGCCTGGCACAGTGAAAAGTGTTCTGTGGGGCCAGAGTACAATTTAGCCTGCAGCCTGACCTACTTGTCCCAAATTGCAGGCCTCCCACTACCGAACAAGACAGGGCTAGGACAATGGCAAGCAAAGCATGCCAGGGTATGGTCACAAGCATGAACAAGAAGACATGGGCAGATGGGCAAAATGGGTATGGATACACATAGGCATGCGGACATTAATCTGGGTGTGTACGCTGGCTCGCACCGGGTGGAAGTAGACAGCATCAAACTGCTTAGACAGTGCCTGGAGCTCCTCCTTGTCCAGGGTCTGGGTCCTCCGCACCAGGGCTACATATTCTGGGCTTCGGGTCAACAAGTGGGCCACCAGTGGGACACAAAGAAAAGGAAGCTGGGATTCCTGGTGGTAACACCCACCCAGCACTCCCCTTATGCCTCTGAGCCCACACCACGGTGAAACTGAGGGGACACTGATAGGATCCCCAGCCCAGTCATTGTCTGACCTGTGCACCATGCCCAACTCTTCCTCTGATGCCTCACAAGCTGTCAAACACAGGCACCTTTGTTGCAGGCCACGCTGCCGCAGGCCATCCAGGGCTGCAGTCAGGCGCTCTGGACACTCAATTTCGCACTCGGGGCTAGAGCAAACAAGGATCTCAGTGTTCAGAGTTTCCTCCCGGCACCCTACTTCTGTCAAGACACACTTACTCATCCCAGAGCAGCCGGGTGGCTGTCATATCCTCGTGGTACACAAGTGCTGTACCCATGGCTACACCGTGGTCACTTTGATCCACTCTAGCGTATACACGCCCTCTGCTGGCAGGTGATTGCACTGTCTGGTCCCACCGAACGGCGCGCACGTAAATAGCCCCTCGCTTGGGACAGAGCCCGGTAGCAGAGATGGACCAGAGTAAGAACGCACTACCCAAGGGTCAGACCCGGTTGGTACTCAGAAGCAAACCGCTGGAAACTGAGATAAGCCGGTCCACAGCTTGGCTCCCGACATCTAACTTCCGGCTTCCTCCTTCGCAGACTTGGTCCCGCCCTCATGTGCGATTAGGGTGGAGTAGACCAGCTGAACTCCCGTCGGGTTCCGCCAGCATCTCTGGATGTGATCTCGGCCTAGTGCTTCAGCTGCGGTACCACCGCCAAAAACGTGTGGCACGGAGCCTGCGCTCAGTGTCCCTCTTGAAATGGTTGGGAAGACGGGGCTGCTTGTCCTCAGGCAATGTGCAGGCGCTGCTATGTTCCCTTCTTTCCCCAACATTCTCGAGCCTAAATTCTCCCTGCTTAGGCCACAGGGTCAGACATGCCAACTGTCCGTCGCATCCAGTTTACCTGCTCCCCTAAGTGAAAGGGTGGAAGAAAGGGAGGTGAGCAAGATGTGTACGCATGCCCACACAGGAGCTGGCCTGACATGTGTCATGGCACAGAGTTTCAAAATGGGACTAACAAAAGACCACAGGTGAAAAAGAGGCCACCAGAATGGAAGGATTGTGTCAGAGGCCAGGTCGGGAAGGAACGCTGCAGCACAGTGTAGGGCCAGGAAGGGCAGAGGAAGGGGATGAAGGGAGGGGACCTTGGACCTTGTAATGAAGGTAAAAGGGCCAGCCAAAGGAACCTGGAATCCGAACCAATGAAAGAAACCCACCCTGGCCATGAAATCATAGCCAATGAAAGAAATACTTTAGCCTCGAACCCAGAACTAAAGAAATACACCCTGACTCTGAAACCAGTGCCAAAGAAACACACTTTGGCCCTAGAATCAGTCAGTGAAAGAAATAAGCGTTCATCCTGAAAATAGAGCCAAAAAGCTTTAAAAGAGCAGCGAAGGCCGGGCGATGGTGGCGCACACCTTTAATCACAGCACTTGGGAGGCAGAGGCAGGCGGATCTCTGTGAGTTCGAGACCAGCCTGGTCTACAGAGCTAGTTCCAGGACGGGCTCCAAAGCCACAGAGAAACCCTGTCTCGAAAAAACCAAAAACCAAAAAAAAAAAAAAAAAAAAAAACACAGTTTGGCCTTGAAATCAGCCATCTACCTCTGCGCCGGACCAACTAAGTTAACCAATTCCTGAGCAGGGAAAACTAATCAGTCCCTCTTCTCCCCGGGAAAACTCCCCACCTAAGAAGCCCTATATAACCTGTGCACCTGTTCAGTTTGCTGCTGCCCTTTTCTACCCTGGCAGAGGCAGCCACTCTCCTGAATTCTTCCCTCATGATAAATCTCATTGAGTGAGCTTTCGGTGAGACCTTCTTTTGCTGGAGTTGTAACACTTTCACTAGGGAAACCTTCCCCTAGCAGTGCCAAGTTGTTACAACTTCACTGGAGAAGTAGAGCAAGGCTGTAACACTTTTATTGGGAAACCTTCCCCTAGAGTTGTTGCATTCTGGGGCACCAGAACCAAACTGTAACAACTTGGCTGGGGAAGTCCTCTCCTGCAGGGGTAGCAATGTTACATTGGGTAAACCTTTCTGTAGAGCTGGGCTGTAAACCGCTACACTTACTGTGACCTTCATTATTCCCTGGCTAGTGACTACTAGAATACTCTTCCACCAGAGCTGTAATACCCAGTATTCCCTGGCCTCCGACTGCCAGAATACTTTTCCATCTGAGCTGTAACATTCAGTATTCCCTGGTTCCTGAGTGCTAGGATCTCTTTCCATTCAAGTCGCAGTGCTTACAAAAGCATTACAGATCAAAGGAGACATGAGTTCAAGTCTGAACTAATGTTGTTCATGTATGTTTTTTGTTTGGTTGTTTTTGTTTTGTTTCTTTCTTTTTTTTTTTTTTTGTAATCCAGGCCTGTCACCAGTTTTGAAGTCCTTACCTCGGCCTCTTGAGTGCTGGGATTACAGTTGTATCCCACCGTGCTTCCCAAAGCAAGATGGAGAGAGGTGCCTGGGCGATGCCAGTAGAGGTAAGTTGTGGATCAGAGAGTAGAAGCCACCTCTCTGGATCTCAGAGAGCCTCTAAGACAACCCCCTCCCCAGGACAATGAAGGGGAAGGGGGACAAAGCTGCCACTGATATTTATGAAAGGGATGCACAGGACTGTCATGTGCAGGGGGAACCAAGGAGCCCGGAGCAGCTAGGAGGCGCCCATTGCACACTTGGGTGTTGGAGTGCAGGCCCAGGTTCTGGTTAGTCCCAAGGCCTCTCCAGCTACTAGAGACCAAAGGCATCAGGCAGAGCCACTCCTCATTGACTCGCCCTGTATTTTTTTTTTTTTTTTTTTGGTTTTTCGAGACAGGGTTTCTCTGTGGTTTTGGAGCCTGTCCTGGAACTAGCTCTTGTAGACCAGGCTGGTCTCGAACTCACAGAGATCCGCCTGCCTCTGCCTCCCGAGTGCTGGGATTAAAGGCGTGCGCCACCACCACCGCCCGGCTCTCGCCCTGGATTATGTGCCTTGTGGGGCTGAGAGGTGTGAGCCACACCTCCATAATAGAGTAAAATATTCAAAGTCCTGGTCCATGGTTATCTCAAGGGGTTCAGGCAGAGGAAGGCATGGTCATGTCATCTCCTCTGACCAGATTAGCCTGGGCAAAGTGTATTGCCCAGAACTCCTTTGCAGATGAGGGGAATGCAAGGCTCCACCCTTATGCCTTGCTCTAATGTACCTGTCCTTGGGAAGAACATGGACCATCTAACTAGGCAGCAAGGATCTAATGGCCTGCAGATGACAGACACTGCAGATTCATGGAAGCTGACAGGGTGATGCCAGTAGAGGTAAGTTGTTGGTCAGAGAATAGAACCCACCTCTCTGGATCTCAGAGAACCGCTAAGACCAGAGATAACATTCCTCTCTAGAAGCTTTGACCATAAGAAGACAAATGCAGCGGGGTGGTGGTGGCACAGGCCTATAATCCCAGCACTTGCAGTTGGGAGGCAGAGATAAGAGATCTCTGTGAGTTCAAGGCCAGCCCGCTCTATAGAGCTAGGACTATTACACAGAGAAACTCTATCTTGAAAAAAAACAAAACAAAACAAAACAAAAAAAAGTTGCACTCTCAGAAAAGTCAGAAAGAAAGGACCATCTGTCTTGGTTCTAGCATCATCGTCCCCATTATCTGCCCTTACACCTTGTATCAGGCTCCATAGAACCCTGCTCAGACTCTAAGCCTTAATTAGAGTATAGTTACTGATGAAGGGAGGGGACCAAGCCCTAATGTGATGGCTTGAGGACCACTGGCAAGGACTAGGTGGCACCGGCACGGCACTTTGACCTGGGAAGAGTCAGGGGCATGGCACCTCTACTAGGTGGAGTGCGGGAGCTCAGGCTGCCTCTTTTTGTGCACAGACTAGCAGCTCAGAGAAATGGTCGGAGCTCAGACATTGGGCCACACAGTCAGAATGGGAGATCTACAAAAGGGTTTATTTGCACCCAGCCACTGAAGCACACAAAATGACTGGTTTACATTCCAGGCTAAGGGCGTAAGAGAATCCACCCCCATCACAGGAGAGATGATATCCCTGAGTCAGTGTCCCCAAAACCTCTATCTCCTTCCTTCTCGGGAGTTGGCCTTGACACTGTCCAGAGCAAGCAGAGCTCAGGGAATAGCACTAAGCTCTGCCAGACCTGAGACCTTGTCACTGGTGAAGGGAGCACAACTCCAGAATTCAAAGGCTAGTTTCGTGTTGGGCGGGGGTCTTGGACAAAAAGCTTAGACGTTCTTCCAGGGTCATCCGGGGCACCCAGAAGCAGAGGAGCAGGTTTGGAGATGGAGGGTCCAGGATTCGAGGGTCTACTCAGTCTCTCCAAGTGGATGACTTGGGATACAAGCCCCAGCAACTGTCAGAGTGCTAACCAGGATTCTTCTTCCAGGGAAGGGGAGCCAAGGTGCCTGTGAGGCTCCCAGCTGGGCTCCTCAGGATGCCCTAAACTATTCAAAGGTCTTCATAGAGCTGTCTCCTTTGGGACTCTGGCTCCTAGCTGCCTGGGAGGCTTGAAGCTGAGCACTTCCTTGTAAGTAACACCTGCAGAAAATGAGGAGAAGTAGATGATAAAGAAGTTAGTCCAAGCCAGGCGGTGGTGGCGCACGCCTTTAATCCTAGCAATCGGGAGGCAGAGGCGGGCAGATCTCTGTGAGTTTGAAGCCAGCCTGGTCTACAAGAGCTAGTTCCAGAACAAGCTCCAAAGCTCCAGAGAAACCCTGTCTCGAAAAACCAAAAAAAAAAAAAAAAAAAGCCAAGAAGTTAGTCCAAAGTTCACCTAAGGGGAGAAGCTAGCACCCCATGGGCTTTTAATCCGAAATGGGCCAATCCCCTTAAAAACATTTAGTGTGAGCTGGGCAGGGGTGGCAGCGCATGCCTTTAATCCAAGAATTCAGGAGGCAGAAGCAGGTGGATCTCTGTGAGGTTAGCCTGGTTTGCAGAGAGAGATCCAGAACAATCTGGGGCTGTTACAGAGAAACTCTGGGGGCGGGGAAAGGGGTAAGGTGCGGAGGGAAGGGACAGGGAGGGGAGGGGTAGGGCGGGGCCTTACTTTGTGTGAAAACTTCTATAAAGATACATTTCCAGGAAAACAGGTGATGAGAGCTTATGTTCAGAAAAAAAAAAAAAAAAGGAGGGAAGCTTGTGTCCTGTCCACAGACTTAGTTGTATGTCCTCTGTGGTCTATGGTAAAAGCAAAAACGCCAGGCACAGTGTGTAGGTGGAGACCACAGATCAGAACTGTGGCCTGTGGTTAAGGGAGTTGTTTTGATTAGCAGCAGAAGGGTTTCATCACAAAGAACCAAATTCACAAACACATGACAACACAGAAGGGAAGAATGCCTGCTAGGATTGCAGAAGAACCTTGCAGGGCATGATTTGAGAACCTTAACCCATCCAGTCTTTCCCACATCAAGGTGCAAGAACATGGCCTGAAGCCAGGTGATGGTGGCACACACCTTTAACCCCAGCACTTGGGAGGCAGAGGCAGGTAGATCTCTGTGAGTTTGAGGCCAGCCTGGTCTATGGAGTGAGTTTCAGGACAGCCACAGCCACGGCTGTTATAAAAAGAAACCCTGTCTCAAAAAAACAAAAAAGAACATGGCCTGGGAACTAAAGCAGGCAGGACAAGGGCTAGCATGTCCCGGTAGACATGTCTTCAGACTGCCAATTTGGAGCAGACACCAGAGGCTAGTTCCAGCTCATGGACCAGTGGGCAGCCTGAGGCCAGTTCTCAAAGATATAGTAAGAGTCCTCAATGTTCAGAACCTGCAGGTTCAACACACGGCCATGGATGGATCTGGGGCTGAAGATGTGAGGAAAAGCCTAGGCCTTGGGACTGCATGGGAATAGACTGTCCCCCATGGCCAGAATATGAGAAAGATGTAGTTGTTTCAGGAGGGGTCCTGACAAGGAGTAAGGATAAATTCAAAAGGGGTGAGAAGGAAGTCATAAGGATAAGTGGTGGAGAGGACTCCATTGTGGTCTAGACATGAGGATGCTGGGCACCACGGGCAGGGGAGAGGACAGGGAATCAGTAGAGGCCGAGGGTATTGCTGTCCTGAGCACACAGATGCTCCACCGTTCTCGGGACCTGTCATGTGCCAGCCTTTGAAGGCGCTGCCATAGGGACACTCTTTCCCATTGCCTTCTGCTCTAGCCAGAAGTCAGCCTGGCCAAGCTGTACTGTCCCACAATGCCCTTTGACCTCCCAACCTTTTAACTCATCCGCACAGGCACACAGAGCCCAAAGCCAGGCATTGTGCAGAGCCCGCACTCACGCTTCCACTCCTCAAGGGTGCGGTCCACGTCATCAAAGGAGTCATCGTATTTCTGGGCCTTGGACTCATCCTCGGTATCCTGCAGGGACTCAAAGTACGGATGGGCCAGTGCCTCAGCTGCCGTCACCCGCTGTTCTGAGTCCAGCACCAGCATCTTTTCTAGAAGGTTCACAGCTGTGGGGAGAGCAAATGAGGCCAAGCCACGGAATAGGACATACCTAAAAGCCTAAGATCTTCACCCACCCAGCCCTACCCTGAGGGCTTGCGTTGGTCAGGACAGAGGCAAAATCCTTTTTTTCCAGCTCAGGAAGGCCTTCCATGTAGTTCTTGGCCTATGGGGGTCAGGGGAAGAGTGATAGGCCAGCTCCCAAACCCAAGTCCAGCTCACCACCCAGCTTCCCACTGACCTCAGCACTCTGTAACTTCTGTACAAACTCAGGAGGGGGTGTCCCTGTGACCTTCATGATCTCCTTCAGCTGGTCCAGGTCTGTACCAAGGTCAGGAACACAGTGCAAGGGCAGAAAAGGTGGCCCACCCAGCACCCACACCTGGGCTGAAGTCCCATGATGCTCTGCATAGAAGGATACGGTCACTGCCTTTGAACAGAATCTTCCCTGTAATCATCTCCGCCATGATGCAGCCGACAGACCAGATGTCCACTGAGATACACATCAGTGCCCCACAGACAAGCATAGCATTCATATTCACGAGAGTCAAGAGAAGAGGACATGCAAGAAACCATATATGGAAGACAAATATACATGACCAGGAGGGGTGTACACAGGCACGGAGCACAGGGAGTCACTAAGGAGAGTAGCAGAGCTCCACCCCAGCTCAGGAGCCTCCTGGAGGTAGTGCCTACAAAAAGCTCCCTATCAAGAAATGAGGAAGGGAGCTGGAGAGAGGCTAATCAGTTAAGAGCGCTGGCTGCTCCTCCAGAAATCCTTGGTTTGGTTCCAGTAACCCCATGGCAGCTCACAACTCCATGACCCCAGTTCTAGAGGATCCAATGCCATCTTCTGGCCTCTGCACTCACCAAGTACACACGTAGATAAGTACTTATACACATAAAGTAAAATTTTTAAAAATGGAGAAAGGTGAAACATGTCTTTAATTCCAGCACTTGAGGGGCAGAAACAGGTGGATCTCTGTGGATTCAAGGCCAACTACATTGGGAGCTCCAGGAATAGCCAGAGCTATACAGTGAGACTGTATCTCAAAATAAAAAAAAAAAAATCCAAAAAGTATAAAATAATGATGATGATGATGATGAAGGAAGGGCTGAACCGAGGTGTATCGCAATGATAGAGCACTTGCCTAGCATGAATAAGACTCTCTGTTCCATCCCACACACTACAGAAACAAATAAAAGTGAATGGGTAAATGCAGGTGGCGAGTGTGCGCTGGGATCTTCAGATAGCCTCTTTCTTACCTGTCTGTGTGTAGCGCATCCAATTCAAGATGACCTCTGGTGCCCGGTACCACCGGGTCACCACATATCCCGTCATCTCACTGTCTGCCTGTCTGGCTAGGCCAAAGTCTAGGATCTAAAGAAGTATCGGAGGTGGAACTAAGACACTGAGGACAGGCCAAATGTGGTCCAGAAGACTCTAAGAAGCTGGGCTTGAAGTCTCCACACTGGAGCTTTTGCCCGCTTTGGTCTTGGGTCTCCCAGGCTTCTCCCTGAGGTCAGTTCACCTGGCCCTACCCACCTCAGGAGCAAGTGCTAAGGATTTTTCTCTACTTTGCCATCCCCTGATCACTTTTAGGAGCCTCCAAACTCCTGCCCTGGGTGACTAGGGACGTTAGCCACTCTTTACCTAAAGCAGGTACCTGACCCCAGGACCCATTCGCTGCTCAGCCCCAGATGCCTGAGGTCTGTCCCTTTTCCTGGGATAAAGGTCAAGAAGGCCAGTAGGGTGACAGAAGGGGCTCCCACCCCCATCTTGGTCACTTTCCCCACCCAGTGACACCTTCAGCTCACAGTCTTCATTCACAGCCAGGTTGCCAGGCTTCAAATCCTGAGGAAAGAAAGACAGCCACTGTGACTACCCTGCCAAAGCAAGGCCCAGGCAGCACTTTCCTAGGGCCACCAAAACAGGCCTGGCCCTTTTGAGGGAGGGCAGAGGGCTGGGGTCCCCAGAGCAGGCTTTCAACTGGGGACTAATTATATGCATTCCCACCGTACTTCTATTTTGCCTTTTTATGGGTTAGCAATGGAAGCTGAGTTTGAGCACTTCTGTTTACATAGGTGGGGAGGAGCAGATGGGTAATCTCCCAGCCCCACCAAGACTCACTCTGTGGATGACACCAGCAGCGTGGATATACTGTGGGAGAGAGGGAGTTCAGCCGTCAGCTCAGCGGGCGCCCCAAGCCTCTCAGCTCTACCCTGCCCAGCCAGGAAGCCTGTCCACCTCCCTACGGCCACCTCTTACCTTCAGCCCCTTCAGCATCTGATACACAAGGAACTGGACTCTGTCTTCACTCAGAGTCTCGTGCTTCATCAGCTTGCCCAGATCAGTGCCCATGAACGGCATCACCAGGTAGCTGTGGAAACAAGGGATGCAGCCAATGCAGGGCTAGTCCCTAGACCTAAGCTAACACCCACTGGGCCCAGTTCACACCTTGCCACACCCCATCCCAGCAGGAGCCACTACAATATTACTCTGTAGCACCCATTCCTCACTATCTTCGGGGTCCTACCATACTGTGATGCTTCAATCCCACCATGCCCTGCTAGGCTCCTACTTTCTGTCCACACCTATCTTGGGCAATTACACCATCTCGATGCATGCTCATATCCCCACTTTCCAAAATGGAAGGCAGGGTTTAGGGGGACTTTGTTTTTGAGGAAAGGTCTCACTTTGCAGTCCTTTCTGGCCCAGAACTCACTGTGCAGACCAGGATGACCTCAGACACACAGACAGCTCTGCCCCTGCCCCTGCCCCTGCCCCTGCCCCTGCCCCTGCCCCTGCCCCTGCCCCTGCCTCCACCTCCGCCTCCTAAGAGCTGGAATTAAAGACCTTCATCCCCACATTAGGTCTTGTTTTGTTTTCAGTTTATTTTTTACATGTCTGGATGTTTTCTCTCCGTGTATATTTGTGCACCACGTGTGTGCAGTGCTCGTGGAAGCCAAAAGAGGGTGTCATCTCTTCTGGGACTTGAATTATAGACAGTTGTGAGCTACCATGTAGGTGCTGGGAATCAAATGCCGGTCCTCTGGAAGAACAGCCAATGCTTTTAACCACTGAGCCATCTCTCCAGCCCTTAGCTCTTGGTTTTATGTTTTTGTTTGTTTGTTTGTTTTGTTTGAGACAGGGTCTCATGCAGCCTAAAATGGCCTCAAACGTCAGGTCCTCCTACCTCCATCTCCCTGAGATTACAAGTGTGTGCCAACACACTCTGCCTCAGGGTTTTAAAATTCCTGACTGAACAGCATCATATGCCAGGTGAGCAGCTAGGGCTGCACCTGGAGCTGGCACTTCAGATCATTTAGTTGTATTGATACCTCAGGCACTGTGAGGGCCCGAATGCCAGGCATAAAAGGAAGAAAAGGTTTGGTTCTACTAGGGCATGTCAGTATCCAGGGGAACCTATAGTATATGGGAGTGCGGTGAGGAGCCAGTGGGCAGTAGGCATCTCAGCCTTCACTTGGGCCATGGAAAGAAGGCCTCCAGCCTGCTTAGAACCTGAAGCCAGTACCCAGAAGCTATTCAGGTTCCTCCTGCCACACACAGGGTAACCAGAAATCTGGGGCAGGAGTTGGGGCTGCAAGGTTGGATGATCATGTGGTTGGAGGGATAGACAAAGGAGAAAGACATCATCCACCCCAGGGGACAATGGGGCCATAGTATATCTTGACCTTTGCCAGTCAGCAGTGAAGAGCCTGTCACCCACTCCAGCCCTCTAGTTGATTACAGTATGAGTCCAGGAATGACCAACCATAGGATAGGACAGGCCCTATCTGCCAGTAAAAGGCAGCAATAGTTCAGATTTGGGGCCACATACTGGGTGCCAGGGTCTTGAACACAAACATCCTATCCAAGGTTCAAACTTGAGGCAATGTGAGGGTCTAAGTACCAAGCTTGGACGAAGTAAGAGCCATGGCGCTACCAGGGCATGGCAGGGTTCATAGCTCCCAGGAACATGCAGGAGTGTGAAGTGGACTCTGGTAAGAGGAGTGGGTGGGCAGTGTGCACCCTATCCCTCACTTGGACTACGGGAGATGGCCCCTGACCTGACCCAGAACCTTAAGCTGACACCTAGGAGCCACCTAGGTCCCTCCGACCCTGAGCCAGTCCAGGCCAGCACTCACAAGTCTGTGAAGTCATCCAGAGTCTCATCAGGAGTGAACACATCCAGTAGGCCAATCACCTGGGGAACAAGGGTCAGACAGGATGGAGAGCACATGGCAGACGCAAGGACTCAGTGCACAGCCAGGGTGACACTGTACCCCTGGTAGAAAGCCCTCCTATAACTACCCTCGTCGCCTCCACTGTGCCCACTGTCAGCTCAGCCCCCACCCTGGTTCATTTGCCCACAGACACAGGCTATTTTTGGATGCTGACAGCCGGGATACTCTGGGGGGAGGGGCAGTCTCAAGTCTGGGTTGACTCCAGGCTTCTGAGCAATCCAACCCCTTAGTCTTCCCTCCCTGCTTCTTTTCTCCCCCAATGAAGCAGACCCAAAGACCAAAGTGGGGAAAGTCCCTTGAGAGGCACGAACACCTGATAAGTCCTTCCTGGGGCCATCCCCTGGCTGTCTAGGCCAAGGAGAAGCACCAGTTTAAACACAGCTTCTGGTTGAGGGAGTTGGACAACAGATGGACAGTGTGACATTGGTTTTCCAGGACTTGGTTGGGGGACAGGAGCTTTAGGGTCAAGGGAGGCTTCCCTGAGGAGGGCTGCATATCCATGTATCAGGAGGGATGCGTAAAAGAGCAAAGAGAGGCAGGATGCCTGATGGCCAAAGCGGGAGCAAAACACCTCCAGAGTAAGGACAGAGAGGGAGTCCAAGTGGCTGAAGCCCAGGCCGAAGAGGAACCAAGGAGAGGACAGAGGAAGCCGAAGGAAGGCCTCAAACTCACATCCCAGAGGAAGATTTGGATTTGATCCACAGAGCTGCTGTGGAAGGAAGGATTTAAACAAAGATGTGACGCTGAGGGGCCAGGCGGTGGTCGTGCACACCAGCAATCCCAGCACTTGGGAGGCAAAGGCAGAGGCAGGTGGATCTCTGTGGATTTGAGGCCAGTCTAGTCTACAAAGCAAGTTCCAAGACAGCCAGAGCGGATACACAAAGAAACCCTGTCTCAAAAAGCCAAGTGAAAAAAAATAGATAGGGCTGGAGAGATGGCTCAGTGGTTAAGAGCATTGCCTGCTCTTCCAAAGGTCCTGAGTTCAATTCCCAGCAACCACATGGTGGCTCACAACCATCTGTAATGACGTCTGGTGCCCTCTTCTGTCCTGTAGACATACACACAGACAGAATATTGTATACATAATAAATAAAAAAATATTAAAAAAAAAATAAAGAAAAAAAATAGATATAATATTGAATATGTCCTCTGAGTTCAATGAAAGGACAGAGAGAATGAGGCAAGAATAGGCAGAGAGTAAAGGGCAGATGAGTGAACACTTAGATCATGGCCAAAGTTGGAAGGAAGAGCAAGGATAGGAAAGGCCTGGGGACAGACAAACCACAGATGTGACCTGAGAACTTAGCCCATTCTGCAGAACAGATAGGGAATAGTGTCCTAGAGGTCAAGGGAAGTCCATCAAAGGAATAAAACTTCTTCTGCACTTTAATGGTGTAGAATGTGACCCACAGCCAAGGACCAGAGCTTGAGAAGGAGGGGATAGGTTAGGGCTAGATCTATGGCAGCCTCATCTCTGGTGAGTGGGGCATACAGCCTGTCCAAACTTCAGTTTCCATGAGGAGGTAGCTACAACCGCAGCCTTCCAAAAGGTGTTGGGTCATCCTGAAGGCTGGCGCACCCAGGTGAGGGCAGGAGCATAGCTGGGTGGAAGACCCTTGGCAAGGCAGAATGAAGAAGCCCACAACCCTTGGCTGGAGAAGGGTGAAGGGTAGGTAAGTGGATAGGTGGGAGTTGGGGGCTCTGAGGACAGGGGGTGGGGGCTGCATCCATGAGAACAAAGCCTTTTACTGTTTTTTGTTTGCTTGTTTTACTGTTTACGGGTTTACAGGGAAGTGGGAAAGCAGACACAGCTGGGCTGGCGTTCAGTGTAAGCGGGCTTCACAAAGAAAAGAAATAAAGACCCACCATGTCAGCCAAGAGTGGTAGTGTTCCATGGGGCTATTGACTGATGACCCAGGAGGTTAAAACAAGGCTAGCACAACAGTCCAGATGGGGAATAGAACTCACAGCCTCAGGAAGATAAGAAGAAAAAGCTCTCTGGCTGAGAGAAGGATTCTGATAGCCAGCAATGCCGATATGAGAGGCACCGGGGCAGCCACGTGCAGTACGGGCAGGTAGGACTGGAATTGAGATACTTTGCCTGAGGGAAGAAATACACACCCACAATGGTGGCAGTAACACTCTGCTCCTTTTAAGCCCTGTATCCACAGAGACTGGAGGCTTTCGGATGACAGAGCCAGGGTGAATAGTTCTAGCGACCTGCCCCCCTGGAATAGAAGACTCAGGATGTGGGCAAAAGAAGACCTAGGGTGGGGAAGAGATGCTTTTCCAGGAAAACCCTCTTTCCTACCAGCCTGAAACGAGACAGGGTTTGGAGTGAGCCCTGAGGAGCCCTTAGGCCTAGAACATACCCTGACCACTGCCTGGGCTGAGAAAGTACATACAGGTGGACCAAAAGTGAAACCAAGTCACTGAAGCAGAGGCTGAAAACTTGTAGTGTCGCCCCGATGGAGGTCTGGGATGCCTCCACTTCCTTCCTGGAAGCTGCCGATAGCTTACTCAAGCAGGAGGCTAAGTAGGAAGGAGGTACCAGGCCCCAGGAAGCTGAGACGGTGGGCAGGATTTGCAGGGGAGGGCAGGATGAGAGGTGGCCAGTGCACAGTGTCCGCTTCTGGGGCGGGCGTTGGACTCACGTTCTCGTGGCGCATGTGTTTGAGGAGGCGCAGCTCTCTGTAGGCGCGCTTGGCAAACAGCTCCGACTGGAAGGGCCGGTACAACTTCTTGATGGCCACCTTGTTACCAGTGCGGCTGTCTATTGCAGAGCTGCGGGGTGGACAGCTTGGCTAGAGAACCCGCCCCGTAATCACCAGCAGCCGCCTGCCCTGCCTGCCACCCCGTCCGGCGAACGCTCACCACACTGCACCATAGGCACCAGAGCCCACGGGCTGCAGGTCCTGGTACACGGCGCGCACCTCCCAGGCCGTTTTGGTCACCTCCTGGCGGTAAAAGCCCTTGCGGGCGGGTGGCGGGGAGCTCATCCCCGGTCGGAGCACTGCGCCCCAGGACCGGACCCAGGATCAGGGGCTCCGCCCGCGCGCCCCGGGTCACTGCGTAGCACCGGGAGGACTCCGCGCCGCCGGCCCGCCTGCCTGTGGGACTTTCCCTTACAGACTCTTCTCTTGGGGTCGCCACCCTGAACTCTCTGGAACCGCCAGCTCCCACCCGACCCTTGTCTCTGGCCGGCAAAGTGGTCCCTCCCGGCCCACTGACCAACCGGGCCCTTGAGCCCTGAGCACGTGACACCCCCGTCTGCCCTCCGGCCCCTGCGGAAACCCGAGGAGGCCTCCGGGGTTGGGCGGAAGGCTTGGAAAGGGGAAAGGGAGGGGGGGGAATTGCCCCAAAGCTCACTCCGGACCTGGGGCGGGAGGTGTTGCTGAAACACCCTGGCCAGGCTCTATCCTCAATAGACGTCTCGGCCCTGGGGTCTTAGCAGGTGCTTCTCAGAATTCCAACCTTTCCTGATCTTTCAGAACGTTGGGCCCATTCTAGCTACTTAAGTTCACCAACTTCTATGCCAGCCCCAGGTCAGGTCCACCTGCCCACTTACCAATCACACCCAACCCAATTGTTTTCCTGTTCCTGGCTTAACTCTTCTTTCCCAAGGATGCCCCGCCCCTGGGGCTGATTCATTCTTCTCTATGGAAGAGGTATTTGGTTTTGTCTCCCAGACATCTCAGGTTGCATTCCCAACCCCATTGTGAGCACTGGCTCTTCATTTCCTAATCTAGGAACCAGAGGGATTGACTCTTCTAGGGCCCCTTTGCCCCTCTGTTCCCTGCCTTGGCCCTCACCTGGTATGTGGAGTGCCTGCTTTAAGTACTGAATAGGACTGGCCCCTGTATCTACCTCACCTGCTATCCAGTTTGGCCTTCAAATCAGAATAAGCTAAAGTGTGTGCCTGCCCCCAGAAAAAAAAGAGGGGATCCTATGTGGACTTTCAGCTTGATGCCTCCATGTGAGCTTCTTCTCTGGGATTTGGCCAAGTCCTGAACCAGATGAACCGGGAGGATAAAGCAACCATCCTTCCCACAGCCTGGTGACCAGAGTCCATTCCAGGATCCCACTGGGTTGATGAGTAGTAACAAGATCCCGCAGAATTCTCTTCCCCTCCCTCCATGCCTGCCTGCCTGCTGCCGTGAATCAGCAGCTCAAGGCCAGCCAGGGCAGCTTTACACCTGGGCAGCCGCTGGTGATGTGGCACATTCGCAAGCAGACAAGAGCGGGCAGGGAAGCTCTGAGCAACTCAGACCACATCTGCCTGTATCCTGTGCCCGCTGGGAGGCCTCTGACCACCCACCCACATCCTCCAACAAACTCCCCAGTTTCCCTCTTTATTCTGTAGGGGACCAATTCAGACCAGGCTTGGGAACTAGGGCCTTGTATCTGGTCCCACTCCTACTCCTGATCCCCCAACACCAGCTTGGCTCTGGTCTTCTAGCTTTTCTCCTGGACCAGCTGCCAGGCTAAGACTTCTGGAGGTCCAAGATTCAGGACACAGGCCTGATACATGTGCTGGCTGTATCCTGGGCTAAAGTAAAGTAACCTTTTTGCCTTAGCCAGGAAGGAAAGGACAGCTATTCCCCGTATCCTGTCCAATCCCTGAGGAAGAACTGGCCTTTATTCCACAGACAATCCCACCCCACCATCCCACCCCAGAGCCAGTCCCATCACTGAGCAAGAAGGAGTCAAGCCTGTCCACTGAATCCCGATGTACATAAAACAGCAGGGACCAATGTGTGATGGCTATCACATTATTTTCCCCCTTTAGCCTGTGGGTCTTATCCTGCACTGGTCTCCTGGTTCTTGACCTCTCTACGGAGCTGTGATAGTACCAGAAATGGCCACTGCTCTCACTGAGTGGTCAAGGGAGTGCAACATGTGCCAAGTCTGTGGGGCTAGCTGCAAGTGGGCCAAGCACAAGATCCAACCACCCCTCCAGGCAACGGGAGTAGTGGAAGCAATGGGGTCTGGAGCCTTCCACACAAATAAGAGCAAGAGGGAAGCCCCTTTATTGTGCACTCTTAGTGCAGGCACTTGACATCCAGAGACCCCTGGTCCCTGATAGCAAGAGATCATCCTCTCTTCAGGGAGGAGCCACATCCCAGTGTGTCTTCAAACAGGGTCCTATCTCAAAAATCACTTGGGCAGCTCCTCTCTGGGGAGAGGGCAGATAAGGGATGACTCACAGACCACAGCACCCCAGACCAGCTGTAGAGCTACAAGGGTAGGGGGAGGTAGAATGTAGACAAAACGTTCGTCAGCTTTGACTCAAGGTCCAGGGGCAAGAGTGTCCAAGTTCATATCCATGGGTGCTCTCCACCCAGCATCCGTGAGATTACACCCCCTACTTCATCCGTTTCCCAGCTGGCAGTGTGTCCTTCTGCCTCCGGATCCTGTAGCAGCTCCTACACTCTAGCCGAAACTCCAGGTTTTTGGATGGATCTTGGCACCTCTCAGGGTTTTAATCTAGTTCACAGCTGGCTCTCAAGACCCAGTAGGCAACAGGAACTTGGGGGAGGGGAGGCAAGAGTGTCTCCAGCTTAGGTGCCCTCCCAGAAATGGCTGCTGGTCCCTCGGGTGCTCACAGATTCATACGCACCAGCACACGCCTGCATATGCTCTGATGTGTGCACCGGGAGTGTACACTCATTTGCCCACTTGCCCACACATCACAGGTAAACACAAAGCTGCAGCCAGCTTTTCCGATTCAGTATCTAGTGATGGCCTCTGCCTTGCCACCCCCAGAAGGAATGCCACTCATTTGGAGGGGGGCCTCAGCTTTCACCCACTCACTTCCAGGTCGAGCTGCTCCAACCACTGGGACTCCCAGCCCCTCAGAGTCTCCAGGTGCCGTGGCCCATTTGCCTTCCTCCCAGTCCAGAGAGTTCTCAAGAGCAGAAGAAATCCAGACAGGGACCCATTAAGATCCCACACATTGAGGTCCCAAGGAGAACCTGGGTGGGCCAAGGTGGGCCCAGAAACGCTACTGCCCAGGCTCCAACACATGACAGCAGGCATATGTACATATCCGTGCATCCGTGCGTGTATGTAGGTAGAGTTCTCTCAAGGCAAGGGGTCCCAGGTTAAGGGTCAGGGCTGCCTGAGAGGCACCTCCTGAGGAAAACTGGAAAGCTGAGGAAAGGGGGGCAGGCTCAGGCCTCCCCTCAGGCCTCACTGCTCAATCTCATGGGTGCCAGGTAGCTGTGATGGCTCCAGGGGCTTGAAGCTAAGGACTTCCTGGTAAGTAAGCTCTGAGGGAATAAAAATAGGGTGAGATTGTGCTGTTGTCCCCGCCCACACACACAACCCAGTTCCCCACCTGCATGTGTGGCATCTGCTTCCCAGCCACATCTACCACTGCCTAAGCTGAGAACCAGAGCCTGTCTTACCCCACGCTGTCCTCCAAGCCTCTCTCTCTCTCTCTCTCTCTCTCTCTCTCTCTCTCTCTCTCTCCACACACACACACACACACACACACACACACACGCCTCTTTACATGTTTCACTCTGGAGTGCAGTCATGTTGTTTCCCCCTCCCAGGTTACTGGGAGAAAGTTCTGGGGGAGTTTCTTGCATGAAACATAAACTCTTGCTCTGAGAAAATGCAACCCACAGACTTCTTGGGCTGCGCTCCCTCTCCCGTGCCCCCCCCCCCCCCCCGGCCCTCTCCCATGCCCCTCGCCCCGTGCTCACCCTTCCACTCCTCCAGGGTGCGCTCCTTGGCCTCGACACTTTCATCATAGGGCTCAGCCTCCGGCTCGTCGTCAGGGTCATGGTACTGGCTGAAGTACGCATGAGCCAAGGCTTCAGCTGCACTGACCCTTTGGTCACTGTCCAGCACCAGCATCCTTCCAAGGAGGTCTACAGCTAGAGGAGCGAGGGTCAACACTACATCCAGTCCTGGATCTGAAGCCCAACCGAGACCCAGGACCAGTCCTCACCCAGAGGGTTGGCTCCATGGAAGACACTGCTGAGATCCTTCTGGGGCATAGGGGGCAGGGACTGGATGTATGTCCGAGCCTGGGGACACATAAGAAGGGCTTGGAGGGCTAACTACCCTCGATTTCCATGGCCCCAAACTGAACAGAAGGCTTCAGGAGACGGCCCTGATGCATTCATTCCAACAGGCCTGGCAGGTGCGCCAGCAAGCCAGAGTCTTGCTCTCGAAGTCTGGGGGCTCCCTAGCTGGGTAGTAGAGGTGCACGCCTTTAATTCCAGCACTCTGGAGGCAGAGGCAGGCAGATCTCTGAGTTCAAGGCCAGTCTGGTCTACAGAGCAAGTTTCAAAACACCCAGGGCTACACAGAGAAACCCTGTCTCCCAAAACAAAACAACAAAAATGTCTAGGGACTCCAGACCTCCTTTTGGCTTCTAATGATGTCTGCAGAAGCCAAATGTTCTAAGCTTTCTCTGCTCTCGCCTGCCTCTACCGTTTATAGCCAGAGGAGTTTTGTCAGTGTTGGTCGGTTGGTCTCCACTGTCTCTCCTACCTGGAATGTCCTCCTGATTCTCCTGCTTCACCCTGAAGGGGTTGAGTTTCTAGTACAAGCTCTATCCTGCTCTGTCCATGTCTCTGATATGTTGCCTATTTATCTGCATACCACCACCTCCCCAACATGACTGGTACTTGGTCAGCAGAACAAATGGATGGATGGGTGGATGGTCACTAACTTACATGCTCTGAGGATATCTTTGCCAGAACCTCAGGGCTGGGTGTGCCCACCACCTCCATGATTCGCTTCAGCTGGTCGATGTCTGCCTAGCTCAGGAAACACCTGGAGGCCAAGCCTTTACATCCTCAGCCCCTAGTACACTGTGGCGCCGTGGCTCCGGACAGGGAGCCCCACGTGTCATAGCATAAGAAGCAAGACTTCGAAAAAGGGCTGGAGACCACCCCTACCCTGTAGAATGGGACCCCAGCTTGACCCTGCTCCCCAAGGATACAGTCATTTCCAGGAAAGAGGGCCTTCCCTTGGAGCAACTCAGCCATGATGCAGCCCACAGACCAGATGTCCACTGTTGGGGGAGAATAAGGAGACTCTATCAGTATGCCACCCAAAGCCTTCCTGTGGAGCTGGGGAGAAGCCTGCCCAGTAGTGATCCCTCATCAAAGCCAGGACCAAAGAAGCCAGTGGTGCCCTTATTCTGTACCCTACCCTGAGAAGAGGTGTGGGGACACCCACCAATCTATAGGCCTTTCTAAAAGCTGGTCCCACCAAGCCCTTGCCCCTCACTCAGAGCTCCAGGCATGCTCTTCCCCCTATGCCCACAGGTTTGTCACCTTCCGTCAACATTGGTGTGAGTACTGTCTGCCCACCCTTATAGGACAAGGCGACTGTTGACGGTCGACAGCACCTGTCTGGTTGTAGTGCATCCAGTTCAACATGATCTCTGGCGCCCGGTACCAACGTGTGGCCACATATCCAGTCATCTCCTCATCAGCCTGACGCGCTAGCCCGAAGTCCAGGATCTGGAGGACCACAGGTGTTATGTAACACACGACACCTACTTCTCTCTGCATCCCCACTGTTCACACCCCATCCTCCTTACCCGAAGCTCGCAGTCCTCATTCACCGCTACATTGCTGGGCTTCAGGTCCTGCAGGGTGGACCTGGTGTGAGTGTGGTAGCTATGAGCCCGAGTAGTGTCTGACCCTCGCCCTCTCCCACAGCTGCACCTACCCTGTGGATGATGCCTGCCGAGTGGATATACTGCAGGGGAGGGCAGACCGGCTGAGCCCAGGCTCCAACCCGGTCTGCCCCAACCCAGGGCGTTCGAGGGAACCCTAGAGCCCACGCGCCCCACCTTCAGCCCACGCAGCAGCTGATAGACGAGGAATTGAACATGCTCATCACTCAGTGCCTGACACTTGACGATGTTATTCAGGTCAGCGCCCATCAGGGTGGTCACCAGGTACCTGTGCCAGGGTCAGGAGTTAGGACAGTGTCTCGCTACCCCCTTCCCGACTAAGCTCCCAAGGCCACCGCCACGCCTGCCCAGGCCGCTCACACTTCGCTGAAATCCTCGATGGATGTAGCCGGCGTGAAGACGTCCAGGAGCCCTATGACCTGGTCAGGGACCCAAGAGAACAAACCACCACACAGCTGTAGGCAACGCCAGACAGGTCAGGGCCCCGCCCATATGGAGGCGTACCCCAAAAGGCCCCGCCCAACTCGCTCCCGCCCCCACCGGGCGGTGTCCGTTGTTCAATCCCTACACCACTGGCCCGCCCTCTCACGTTCTCGTGCTTCAGGTGTTTGAGTAGGCGCAGCTCCCGGTAAGTCCTCCTCGCGTGGATCAGCGATTGGAAAGGCCGAGACAGCTTCTTCACAGCCACCTTCTGGCGCAGACGCGCGTCGTAGGCCGAGCTGCAAGGTGGGCGAGTGCGAGCGCCTGGCCTGAGTCCACCCTGCGCCGGAGTGCAGGAGAGCAAGCCTCCGCTTCTGGTCCCAAGACCTAGGAAGCTTGTCCCTGCCTGCTCTCCCCGCCGCCCCTCTTGGACCTCCCTTAGGAGACCCCCCCCTTTTTTTTCAATCTTTTCTCTCGTGATTCTAGCCCAAACCTAAGCCCCCACTCAGAACGAGGCCGCTGCCTGGAAAAGACGCTACAACTATGCCCACGGACACTCCCTAAGCAAGCAGCTCTCCTTCCTCACTGACGCCATGAACAAGGGAGGCTTACCTTCCAAGCCATGACTCCCCACCCCCATGCCTCTGCACATCAGATTGCGAAGGAAGAGATGTTTATTGCATCCTAATTTATAAGTGAAGTTGGACGCGGTGGTTCATGCCTGTAATCCCAGCTCTTGGGGAGACTGAAGTAAGAGATTTGAGATGCGTTCAAGACTAGCTGGTGAAATACTGTCTCACAAAAAAAAAAAAGCCCCCTCCCACAATTTATAACTGGGTGGAAGGGAATGTTCATCTCGAGTGGGTTGGGGGGGGGTCTCTGGTCCACTACCACTCCCCAGAGACTGGAGAACCCTCCACCTCTGTACCCTTTTATGTTAGTTTGTTTTGGTTTTGGTTTCTGGAGATAGGGTTTCTCTATGTAGTCCTGGCTGCTCTGGCTCTCTCTCTGTAAACCAGGCTGACTCTGAACTCACAGAGATCTGCCTGCCTCTGCCTCCTGAGTGCCGGGAGTCTGCACCACCACCCGGCTCCTCTTCATCCTTTTGTCCTTCACTGGAGAGCTTCAAATGAGCAAATGAGGACATGTCCTCTAGATTGGTGGGACCTAGACCAGCATGATCAGGAGCTGTGGTCATAGAGCTTTCCCCCAAGTTCTGGTCCCACTGCCCTCAAGCCTAGAGCAGCTGTGAACTCACTGAAGGAGCCCAGCTGGCTTTAGTCTCTCGCTCTTGAGTCTCTTCATCCCGGGGTGTACCCTTCCCTGCGGTGAGTGGAGACAGGATTCCACCCATTCCACAAGATGAGGGAAGGCAAGGACAGGACATGGTGGGTCTGGGATGTTCATGGGACTAAAAAGTAGCAGAGGGTAGTTGGCTCCCTGCGATAAGCAAAATGTCTAAATAACTCCTGGGATGAGGTGCGAAGGGAGTGGCCACCAGAGCAGCAGATCCTCTTGCTCCACCGCATCTGAACAATTGAGTTACAAGGAGCTGGCATCCTACCACCAACCTCAATAGTGCAACTTGAACAAACCCAGGTCACAGATCAGTAGAGCCCGACCTGGGACTCACTTGGGAAAGTTGGCTATCTCCCAGTAACTCCTAAACAGCCAGTCCCGGATGACTCCATCTGAGTCAGTGTCCAAGCTCTCTGCAAGCAGTCTTCACCAGCTCTCTCCCCACCCACCCAATCTTCTCCCTCTCTCCCCTTCCTTCCCTCTATCTCCTCCCCTCCCTCCCTCCCTCCCTCCCTCCCTCCCTCTAATTTATTGTATTATTTTTTAACGGGATTGTGTGTAACTTCATCCTCTATTTGCTGAGCCCATAGCATCCCAGACACAACCTGTCTTATCTTTTCCTCTGTTCTGCTCCTTGGTTATTTTGGGAGGTATCCTGTTTCTACTCACTGTGGAGGGGGGTACACCCGGGAGAAAGAAGCAAGAAGAAGATAAAGTGTTAATGGAGAACAAGCTTATCCATCTCAGAGTGCTGGGATTACAGGCTGCGGACATGAGGTGCAATCCCACGACCCAGCTGGGCCCGGTAACTGGTTTCCTTTATGTTAAAGAGTCTATAAGATGTTATCAGCAGCCCTGCCGGAGAGATTTGACACAGGCTTCTGGTGACAGGCCAATGACAGCACAAGATCCAAGATTTGAGCCTCAGCCCCCATTCCCAGTGTCCACACCCTTTGACCAGCCTATCAACACGGACTATCTGTACCCATTCTTCAGTCCCGGGTGCCTGAGAGCTAGCTGGCTTCAGCCAACCCGAACTCTGCCCCATCAAGACTCTAACCCCTGGTCCTCAAGCCCTAGCTGTGGGGCTACATACCGAAATCCTTTGTTGGGTAAACTGGGGTAGGGTGTAGACAGGAGGGTAAGATGTCTGATTTCTGCTCAAGCCTCCGTCTGAGACTCCTGGGATACTGGAGAAGGGGGTAGGATCTACGGGACAGTTTGATGCCTTCCGAAGAGGAGAGGTCTCCTCACCGCACTGGGTGCCTCCTTTTCAAATACTCGGGTCTTGGGGCATGTTAGATCCTGAAACTACTTAGACTCTGCCCCAAATAACCCTGATGGCTGCTCCATTTAGCGGCCCCCAGAGACTTGCTCTCCCGCCAGTTGTGACGCCGCGGGATTCGGCCTTAGTGGGGGAAACTAGGAATCAGAGATGGGGGCACGTTAGAGGACCCCCCTCCCTGCCAACGAGTGGAATCTAGTAGGAAAGTTTCCACCGTGTCCCCTTCCCCCCACATTCATTCTTCGGAAGCGTGCCGGCCGGGGGCGGAGGCAGGGCGAGGCCCCTCCCCACGCCGGGAACCCCACGTCGCGCTGGAGGGTCGCGCACATTTTCCCGCCCAGCTCCCACCAGATCCTCGCCGGCCCCTACCAGACCGAGCCGTAGGCGCCGGAGCCCACCGGGCGTAGGCTCTGCAGCCGCTGCGGCACCTCCCATACTGTTTTGTTCAGCTCTTGCCGGTAGAATCCCGCGCGCGGACCCGACATATCCGCATCGGCGGCAGGAGCGAGTTGCCCCGGAACCCCGCGCAGCACCCGGCCCGCGCCCCACGCCCAGCAGGCGTGAGCTCCGCTGAGCAAAGCCAGGTGGGGGGTGGGGGGCTGCGGCGCAGCAGGGCGGGGCGGGGCGGCGGGGCGGGGCCGAGCGGATTTCCCCAGCCAGGCGACCGGAGGCGGGGTAGCGGGATGGGGGTGGGGGGAAGGATGGGAGGGGCAGGTGGAGGGGGGTTTTTCCAGAGACAGACACGCCAGCTTCCTGCCCCTCGGAGACGGCGACAAAGGAGAAAGCCGTCTTCCCTCCCGTGGGGGTGACGAGCAGATCCCTTGCTTGTATTTCTCACCTTCACCTTCTGCCACACGCTCTCCCCGCCCTTCTCCAGGTCCCAGCTCAGACTCCTTATTCAGAAATGAGGTGAAATTGTCAAAAGCGAGCTACAGCACATGGCAAGAATACTTTCAGAACAAAAAACACTAACCACGTAAAAACTAAAGGCTCTAGGTTAAAGAACAGCGCCGTGGCGTTAACCCAGGTCCCCACTGTGGGAGGCGTGTTGTGGCCTGGACGAGGAGGACGCCTCCGTTTAGCATTACTGCTTCACCTTCTAGTACACTTACCTTGGCGACAGCCTTCAGGAGACGTATCTACCCCGCATCTTACCCTAACCTGGGTCTAGAAGTTCCTGGAAGAGGTGAGCTCCCGGCGGCCAGTCAGGACCAGGGACAGCAGCAGCACCATGGTTGTGGCCACAAGGTTTGGTCCCCAAAAGGATACTTTTTGATACTGGGTATTTTTTTTTCTTCGAATGAAGCACCCACATCACTTGACACCCGCGAAAGGCACCCAGTCCTGACTTCCTCAGGGCATTAGTACAAGATGTCTCCGCAAATCTGCCACCCAGGTGCAAGTTCAGTTTGTCACCAAACACAGAAAACTCCCTTTTCCTGGTGTCCAAGGTGGATGCTCTCATGTGCAGTAAGGCCTCACGATTATGTGTTACTCAAGGACAGCGGTTCTCAATATGTGGGTCTCGACCCCTTAGGGGTCACCTAAGACCATCAGAAAACAGATATTTACTTACATTACGATTTATAACAGTAGTAAAATTAGTTATGAAGTAGCAACAAAAATAATTTTGTGTTGGGGGGGGGGTTCACCGTAACATGAGAAACTCTTGAGTCTCAGCATTAGGAAGGTTGAGAAACACTGCTGTAGGCCCTACTTTTAGTCACATTTAGAAGTGAACATGGAGCCAGGCGTCATGGTGCACGCCTTTAATCCAGCACTCAAGAGGCGGAAGCAGGTGGATCTCCGTGAGTTGGAGGCCATCTTCATTTACATTGTGAGTTCCAAAACAGCCAGAACTATGTAATAGAGACCCTGTCACACACACACACACACACACACACACACACACACTACAACCTTGCCAATAAAGAAATTGAACATGGCCCTAGTATGGTGGCTTCCATCTGTAATTCAAATACTCACGAAGCTGAACCTGGAGGACCATAGCAAGTTCAAGGCCTTTCAGGGCTGCACAGTGAATTTGAAGCCACAGAGTGACATCCTGTCTCAAGGTAAAAAGAGAAAGAAAGAAAGGCCAGGTATGGTGGTGTATGCCTTTAATCACAAAGAGAGAGGCAGGCAGGTGGCTCTCTGTGAGTTCAAGGCCACCCTGGTCTACAGAGTGAGCTCCAGGACTGATATGGCAACAGAGAAACCTGTCTCAAAAATAAATAAATAAATAAATAACCATGTAAAATTTAAGTTAAAAATTTTCAACCATGGTCTGTGGACAGTCGGTGGTGGCACACGCCTTTAATCCCAGCACTCATGAGGCAGAAGCAGACAGATCTGTGAGTTTGAGGCCAGCCTGGTCTACAAGAGCTAGTTCTAGGACAGGCCCCAAAGCTACAGAAAAACCCTGTCTTGAAAAAAAGCCCCCCAAAAAACAAACGAAATAAGATGGGCAGTGGTGGCACATGTCTTTAATTCCGGCACTCAGGAAGAAGAGGCAGGTGGATCTCTGAGTTAGAGGCCAGCCTGATCTACAGAGTTCCAGGACAGCCAGAGCTAAAAAGAGAAACCCTGTGAAGAAACAACAAAACAAAAATTGTCAGCTAACCTAAACAAATTAATGAAGTATGAACTACTAGAAGTATCTACTATGAATCCCGGGGCACAGTAGGGGGCCAAGGAAACAGCTCCAAGCCTAGGTCCCTTGTCCCTCTCCCAAGACTTTGCCCAAGCCGCAGGCACCAATTTTCCCTCTGGGAGCCATTCTCAATTCTGGAGCCTAGCCAGAGAACCTGAGGGTGGCCCCAGCCCCCACTGCTCAGGACAATGCAGAGCTCGGAAAGTACCTTTCCCAGGGGTGGGTTGAGGTTTTGTGCGAAACTAATGGAGCTTCAGCTAAAGGCGGGGGAGGAGGGTACTGAGCCCTGGGTGATGGTGGGGGGTTGGGAAACTTGCCTACACAGTGGCCAGGGGGGAGGGTAGTGGCCTTTGTCTGTACAGCAGCAGGGCAGGGCCTGGCAGTTACCAGGGTAACCTGCCTCTTCGCCTCTGCATTCCCAAGGATGCCCAGTTTGGCTCAACTGGAAAAGTGGGGAAGGGGACAGGATGAAGGCTTAGGCGGACAGCAGCCACCTACCCAGGAGAGCCTCCAATCAATTTTCCTGACCTCTGCCCCCAACAAGTCCAGGTGGTCAGAGCTGACTACTGTTAGCCAGGGGTTAGGCCTAGCCAGGCTTAGCTCTCATACAATGGTGATTCTCTCTGGACACCCCTTGCCACCTGCTGTGTCAAACCACAGGTATCAGGTGCCTTCTGCGGATTGTGTGGGATCAAAACAAACACTACAGGGAGGAACCACTTGAGTTTGAGCTGGTAGTGAGGGTAACCGTGAAGCAGGAACAGGGTAGCATAGCAATAGAGGGCAGATAGCGGAGGTTGGGAGTCGGGAGGAGAAGGGCTGCAACCTAAAAATCCCAGGACCCTATCTCCATCCTCTGCTATGACTTAGTGCCACCCCTAAATATCAACCCACCCCGTCTTCTATTGCCTCCCTATGCTCGAGCCCCCTTTTCAATTAGACAGCTGTGTCAATTTCCCGTGGTCAGCTTGTCCACTCAGAGCCCAGATTCTGCCAGTGGGTCAGAACGCACTTTGTAAAAGATAACTCTGGAAGGTGCTGGTTTAGGAACTAGAGGCTGAGGACCATAGCCCCTTCTCACCCTACTCCGTTGTCTCTGGTACCATGGAAAGAAGATGAGGACATATAGGCAAGCTCCTCCCTGGGATTGTTGGTGATGCTGCTACACCTCAAGGCTGGTTTCATGCCCCTCCCCATCCCTAAGCACTCCAACACAGAGGCCAAGTTTCTACCCCTTGCTGATTTCCAGTGCAGGACAAGCCCTGAATCTCTACATACACTTGTCTACCCTTGAAGGAATGTGAGGAGAAAGGATGGACACCCCACCTGGAACCTACTGGGACTGCCAGGCACCCCCAAGCTTAGCAGTGTGTATGCTTCTACCAAATGAGAAGATAGTTTTCAGGGGTCCATTCTGGATGCCAGGCCCCATGATTCCCAGTTCTTTTATCCCAACTCTGCATTCCAAAACCCCTTCACTCCTTCTGGCTTAGTGATACTTAGTTCAGATTTCCTGGCCAGCCATCTCTGCAGGAGAGTCTTGTTATTGGATCACAAAAGAAGCATCACTTCAGAGGGATGTTGGCTGATGGCCTTGCAGCTCCTCAGATCAGGACTAACCAGACACAGAATGTGCCAGTGCATTGTGGGAATAGTTCAGAAGGATGGGATCCACAGACAGCATTTGGATCCAGCCAAAACTAAATGGCCATTTCACTTCCTATTGCAGAACAGTGACTTGAGTAGTCTCTGGAGAACATGGGAGGCTCCCCAAGAACACACCCACTGGTCCAGCTTGCTCCTGGGCTCTGTCTAGTATGGTGCCTGTACCAGAAGTGTTTGTGGAGCAGGGTGTGGTGGCATACACCTTTAATCTCAGAGACTGAGGTCCGTAGATCTGAGTTCAAGGCCACTTCTGGTCTACAAAGCAAGCCCCTTCTAGGTCAGCCGTTCTAGGTCAGCCAGTGTTGCGCACTGATAACCTTGTCCTTGTGGAACGGAATGAGGCCCTCTCACTGTTCTCACATCTCAGTTTAACTCATACTAGCCCTGGAGTACTTTTTTCTTTTTTCTTTTTTTTTTTTTTTTGGTTTTTCGAGACAGGGTTTCTCTGTAGCTTTGGAGCCTGTCCTGGAACTAGCTCTGTAGACCAGGCTGGTCTCAAACTCAGAGATCCGCCTGCCTCTGCCTCCCGAGTGCTGGGATTAAAGGCGTGCGCCACCACCGCCCGGCTTTCTTTCTTTCTTTCTTTCTTTCTTTTTTTTTTTTTTTTTTGGGTTTTTCCGAGACAGGGTTTCTCTGTGGCTTTGGAGCCTGTCCTGGAACTAGCTCTGTAGACCAGGCTGGTCTCGAACTCACAGAGATCCGCCTACCTCTGCCTCCCGAGTGCTGGGATTAAAGGCGTGCGCCACCATCGCCCGGCTCCGGCTTTCTTTCTTTTTCTTTTTTTTTAAACTTTATTTTATGCACACTGGAGTTACAGATAGCTGCTGTGAGCTGCTATGTGGGTGCTGGGAATTGAACCCGGGTCCTCTGGAGAAGCAGTCAGTGCTCTTAACCACTGAGCCATCTCACCAGCCCCGTCGATTCTTTTTGGTTTTTCAAACCAAACAGGGTTTCTCTGGAGCTTTGGGGCCTACCCTGGAACTCACTCTGTGGACCAGGCTGGCCCAGTCAGAGAGCTAGTCCAGCTCTGTATGCGGTGGTTTGAGTGAGAACAGACCCACAGACAGGCTCATGTCTGAATGCTTGGTCCCATTCGGTGGACTGTTTAGGATTAGGAGAGGTGGCCTTGTTGGAGGAGGTTTGTTACTGGGAGGTGGGCTTTGAGGTTTCAAAGGCCAATGTCAGTTGCAATCTGTCTCTGTCTGCAACTTTCAGACCAGATGTGAGCTCTCCGCTACTGCTCCAGTGCAGTAGCGA